CATAAGGTCCCAGTGCACATCGAGATGAAGAAAATGATGAAGAAAAGCTCCACACAGAAACCTGTGCCCATACCCACAGGACACCGAGTAACTATAATACCCTTGCCAAATCACAAGTGTATTATAGTTCCTTCAAGCAGATTTGCTAAAGAACAGCCAGACCGCCAGTATGTAAATACAGTACATCACATACCATAAAGCGACAAATATATTAGCCACTCGACAGAAGATCTGCCAGATGAACTATACATTAACAAAGCGTAATTCATGCCATGGCACATCAGTCAAGTGCCAGACTCTGGTAGGCTTAGCAACTGCTTAGGAATGCAACACCTCTCCGAAAAAAACTGCCAGATACAAAATCACCTTTCTAACTTCTTCTGACCCCAAGCCCTATCCTTACCCATTCCAACATCGACCTAAATCCTCCTCTATAATGGAGTGTGTATATACGCTCAGGCAGACACTGTTCAAACGTTTGTGCACGAGTATGAGCACGTATGCACGAAAGTGCGCAGGTGTATGCAAGTGTGTGTGTATGTATCCATGTGTGTGTATACAAGAGAAGCAATACACATGCACGTCCAAACTTATATACAGGCACATGTACATATGCGGATATGTGTATGCAGGGTATTTGTACACGGTTATGTTTGTGTATGTACAGTTATATCTATGCCTATAGTTATGTGTAAGAGTACAAGATATATATGCACAAAATGGGATGTTGTAGGACTCCGTGAAGTTAGTAGACTAGGCAAAGAACAGAAGATACCAAAAGATGGACACATGCTCTATTGGAGAGGAAACCCCAGGGTAGCAAGCAGAAATTAGAGATCGGTTTCTTAGTTCACGAACGTTTAGAAAAGAATATCGTGTAATTCTATTGTATAAGCGTAAGAGTGCCTTCAGTAACAATAAAACTAAACAATAGGTACAACTTTAAGATTGTTCAAGTCTATGCTCCAACCTGCAGCCACAGTGAAGAAGAAATAGAGAGCTTCTATGAAGATGTTCATTTAGCCAGCAAGAGAGTAAAAACCCATTTCACAATAATTATAGGGGATTTTAATGCCAAAATAGGTAAAAAGAAAGCGTAATGGGGAATCACGGAACAAGCTCTAGGAATGAGAGGGAACAGACGCTTGTCGATTTTACAGAGGCACAATCACTCAGTATCATTAATTATTTTTTCGAAAAATGTCAAATTTCAAATAGGCGCAATGTAGTAAAATGTTAAACTTATTAATAAAGTAAATTTTGGCAGCATAATTAGAATGATTAGAGGCGAAATTGAATTACAACTCGGAGGGGAAAGGAACAAACCTAACCTAACCGCAGCCCAACTTGAAGTCCAGAGCAACAGAATTTAACCTGAACATTCAAAACAGATATTCACTTCTTAGCGCCAAAGATCTCAACATTCACCTAATCAACAAACAGTTCAATAACATCAGCAACTGATAAACGATCTAAATAGAGAAAGTCGGAAAGTTGGAAAAAGACTTTAACAATAGAGTTCAGTTCAAACAGACATGTACAAGGCGAAGCGCTAGAGGTAGTGGACAAGTATATATACACCTAGGGCAACTCGTACAGACAAACAAACGATGCATCAGTCTAAGCTGAAGTGCCTTTGGCAGACACAGTAGCATACTAAGAAGCTCCTTGCCAATATGTTTTAAAAGAAAGTTTTTAACTAATGCGTCCTCCCACTTATGACCTATGGATCAGAAACATGTACTACTATCAAACTACTGGAGAAGTGCCCAGAGAGGGATGCAGAGGTTGTTGCTGAGAATTAGCATCGGATAAGGGCTACATGGATCAGGGAGAAGACAAAAGTGGGAGATATACTTGTGAGCATGTAGAAATACATGTATATGTATACACACACACACACACACACACACACATATATATATATAAATACACACACACACACACATATGTGAATATATGTTTCTTTCTTTCTCTCTATATATGTATATATATGTGTATATATATATATATATATTTAACCCAATGCTGCAAGGGAAAATGAACAAAAAAAGGGGAAAATGCTGTGCCCACTTTCTATGTTTTTCGTGAAATGTCTGCCGATAGATTGCTCTGGTAGCACCTGATATGAAATGGCGGGAAAAACGTATTATTCACTAGTGCTATGAAAATCGATGGTGTTATTTTTATCATAAACATTATAATTTTTATAATGTTTTTTTAACAGTAACAACAAAATAAGATAACATAAAATATTTCGTAAATCAAAGAAACGGGTAAACGGGCGAGACGGTCGGTACTCGTAGTTGGCTCATTGGTGATTTAGTACAAGTGTTGCCATCTATCTAACAAGTACTCACGGTGGGCATAGCACGTAGGTACATGTCATACCTGGCATGTGTGTGTGTGTGTGTGTGTGTGTGTGTGTGTGTGTGTATAAATGTATTTGTATATATATGTATATGTGTATATATACATATATATACATATACATATATAT